TGGAGAGGGCTATGCTCGGAGTTTCTCTGCGTGATAAACTTAGGAATGAGGATATCCGCAGTAGAACCAGAGTAACCGACATAGCCCAACGGATTAGTAAGCTGAAGTGGCAGTGGGCCGGCCATATAGCTCGAAGAACCGACAACCGATGGGGAAGAAAGGTTCTCGAGTGGCAGCCTCGTACCGGTAGGCGAAGTGTAGGGCGTCCCCCCACGAGATGGAGTGACGACCTGGTAAGACATGCGGGAGGTCGATGGATGCAGGTGGCTCAGGACCGTGCTTTGTGGCATTCTTTGGGGGAGGCCTATGTTCAGCAGTGGACTTGTGAAGGGCTGTAATGATGATGATGATGATTACGTACAAAAAAATATTTTTACGTATTACGGACGGGCGTGATTGTAGATACAAATTAAACCAATCAAACCAACGCTCCCTGCTACCAGAATTGTTTAATTTTTATCAAACACACCGCTCGAGCGACGTCAAAACCAGTATGGCACCGAGCCGCGCGCCCTCTGACGTCGATTCCGAAACCACCGTTCGAGCGTAAACAGTATGTAAGGAAAAGCAAGAGTTAATTAGTAAAATTTAATTATATTCATTTGTTCAAATTATATTATATTTCAATTTGAAAGGGACGAAGAGAGAACGAAGTGTGAAATATGGGTAAATCAGGAATGTCTAGAACAAGTAAATGAAATTGTATACTTGGGTAGTGCGTTTAGCCGGGATGGAAGATGTGAATTAGATGTGGACAGGCGTGTCGCTGCCGGGAACAAAGTCAATGGTGCCCTGACTGCGTTAGTCAAAAGGCAAGGCGTGGTGAAGAGTGCACGCCTTGCAATACATAACGCAGTGTTGGTACCGACTTTGTTATATGGCAGCGAAACCTGGGTATGCCAGAAGAAGCATAAAAGCAAGTTGAATGCAGTGGAGATGCGATCTCTTCGTAAAATGTGCGGCGTTACCATGGCCGACCGAAAGCGAAACGAAGAGATTCGCAATATGGCAGGTTTGAAAGATGACCTTATCACGAAAATTGATAAGGGCGTGCTTCGGTGGTTTGGGCACGTTGAGCGAATGAGTGAAGACCGAATGGTGAAGAAAATATATAGCGCGAAAGTTAATATTAAAAGGTGTCGAGGTAGACCGAGACTAACTTTCGAAGACCATGTGAGCATATTGTTCGAAGAGGGTAGGGTCAAGAGTACTCGGATACCTAGACGTGCATGTATGAAGAAGATAATGAATCTGAAAGAAGCGAAAGAGGTATGTAAGGATCGTGACACTTGGCGATCTGTTCTCTCTGGCTACCCCGTCAGGGATTGTGCGTGAAGATAAGTAAGTAAGTAAGTAAGTAAATTATATTCAATTGAGGTGGAAAACATGAAAAATTGTTATGAGACTGAAATAGAGTGTCTTAATTCAGAAATTTTATCACTTCAAACCTCATTACAAATTATGTCAAATAAATATAAATCTGCAGGGAATGAGATAAAAGAACACATACTGGCCATGGATAATCTGGTAAAGTCCTGCAAATATAACGAGGAACGTTTTGACTCCTTATTAAAATATCAAAATGAATATCAGCGCTCACTGCCAGGTTCTTTAGGGACAGTGTGTGTTAATAATATGACAAACAGTAATACTTCATTTCCTTTACCTACACTCTATGATAGTACCATAACAAAGCAGATAAATTTAAAAAGTAATTCATATAATGAAAAAAATAGTGTAATTGTGTATAGTGATGACATAGGCAAAAACTTGGGTATATCATTGAATAACTGTTTAAAAAGGCAACAGATAAGTAATTACTGCATGCCTGGAGCATCATTCAGTGATATTATGAATAAAATTTTAACTAGTAAATTTAACCCTAATAGTATATTAATAATTTTTGTTGGGAGAAGAGGCCATATGAACAAGAATCAATTATTAAAATATATCTCTATAATATCAATAACATAAATGTGGTTAAAGTTATCTTGTTTACATTGCCTTACATAGAGGGGTGGCCACAGGAAAATAAACTAAGACATAATTTAAATTTAATGATGCATAACTTGACATGTAACAATAACTTAAATTTGACATTTAATTGTAAGAATAATAATGATAAATTTCATTTAATTGATATTAATAATTTAACTAAGAAGTTTTTGACAAGAGATAGGTATTACCTATCAAAGTATAGTTTAAGACTGGTAGCAAATACGCTATCTTATTATTTATATTTTAACTCAGCCAATGATTTGGCTACCTTGACACCTACTTCTTTTGAGCAACAAAATAATTTTACATTTGATTTGGAACCAGTTCCAAGTAATTTAAATTAGATAATAAGACAATAGAGGTAATCTCTAGCAAAGATAATTTAAATAGCTTAGAATGCAACTTACCAGTACATAATTATGCAATTTTACAAAATAACAATAATAAAAACTGTATCAACCTGGTGCATCAAAATATACAAGGTATGTTGGGCAAAGAATTAGAAATTGAATTATTTTTAAATAGTAACAGTATACATATTTTATGTATTACAGAACATTGGTTGAAAGATTACAACTCCATATTTAATTTCAGTAATCACCAGGTGGTCAGTTCGTTCAATAGAGATACTAAATTACGTGGTGGCTCCTTAATATTAGCTAATAAGTCCTTATCATGTAAAGAACGTAAAGACATTGTGAGCCTCTCTGTTGAGCGTACTGTAGAAATGGCATGTGTTGAGCTTGAGCACCTTATTGTTGTCAGTGTTTACAGACCCCCATGTTCAAGTTATGATACTTTTGAAAAAATTATGGAAGAAGTTTTAGTTAAGCTTAATAAACAGAATAAATCTCTTGTAGTGTGTGGAGACTTTAATATCAATCTCCTGGAAACTTCTTCCATCAGTATTAAATTTTGTTCTTTGTTCAAATCCTATAATCTTAATAATTTATTCTTTGAAGCTACACGTATTGCAGGGTGTAGTGCAACTTGTATTGATAATATTTTTACAGGTGTTGTACCAATCAACAAATCAATAATTCAAAAACTTAGTTCAGATCACTGTAGACAACTGGTTTCGTTACCTTATATGCACAAAAAACAGGTAATTGAGAAAATTGTGTTTGTTCCTATTAATGCAAAACGCCTGGAGAGATTTAGAAGTAATATGGTAAAAAACCTTCCATCCCTTTCTTATAAGAACAATGCAGACTATTTATATAGAGAATTATTTACCTTTATAAACAATGAATTTAATAAAACATTCTCCAGTAACAGTCGCAAGGCATTTAATGAGTGGGCGACAGTAGGAATTCATAAAAGCAGACGAAGGTTATATGACCTTTACCATGAAAGATCGTATGATCTTTCCGATGCTTTTAAAGAATATGTAAAAAATTATTCTAAAATGTTTAAAAAAGTTTGCTCCACAGCCAAATCATTACATATTAGTAACAAAATTAAGACGGCTAAGAATAAAATTAAAATGACGTGGAGTATAATTAACAGCGAAACCGGTAAAGAGAAACCTCGTAACTCAAACTATCAATTAAAAATTAATAATGAATTGACTAAATCAAATCAAGAAGTTGCAGCGGTGTTTGAGAAATATTTCACTGATGTTCCTATCTTGACAACAGAGTCATTGAATACTTCTCCAACTGTCGCCGAGTCATTACTTAAACAGAATGTTAATACCTGTTTAAAAGAATTTAGTTTTGAAAAAGTATTACCGCATAATATTGTAAAATACTTCAAAACCATTGATGTAAAGAAAACCGCAGATTTGTGGGGGATTTCCGTTACAGTAATTGCGTCCATAATAGATTTAATTGCACCTCATCTTGCTATTATTTTTAATACTTGTATCGATTCTGGTGTGTTTCCTGATTTAATGAAGTGTAGTAAAGTAATATGTACCTTTATTTAAATCTGGTAGTACATTGGACCCTGCTAATTATAGACCTATTTCTGTACTACCAACTCTCAGTAAAATTTTTGAAAAAATATTTTTGGATCAATTGTTAATTTTTTTTAATACAAATAAATTACTTCATAAAAATCAATTTGTTTTACAAGGGGTCGCTCGACGTCTGACGCCGGTGTTGAGCTTATGAAATATATTTTTAATGCCTGGGAGAATTCACAAGATGCCTTAGGTATTTTCTGTGACCTTTCCAAGGTTTTCGATTGTGTTCATCATGATACATTAATCAGGAAACTACAACATTACGGTGTAAAAAATTTGGCGCACTCAAAAAGTCGTCATCAATGGTAAATGTTCCTCCGGATCGGTAGTATCAATGGGCGTTCCTTAGGGCTCGATTCTTAGGCGGCGGCGACCTCTCGCGTCCGGCCCTGGTCGAAGCCATGGTCCGGAGCGAGACGGAATGGGATGCCGTCACCACCTTCTGCGAAGCAGTGATGCTAGCGAAGAAGGTGGCGGAGCGGGAGAAGGAGAGAGCAGCAGCTTTCCTTCCCGATAAAAATTTTTTGGTACTCCGATAGGAGAATGGAGATGGCGGTATGAGTTTATGAAGCTTATAGGCACACTCTCCGAAGCACAACCTGTAGAAGACCGACGAACAAGCAATTTGGCAGCGGTAAGCTAAACTGTAAAGCTTAGTGTCCACCAGCTTTTTGTTGTCGATAAGCCTCTTGGCTCTGCGTTGCACTGAGTCGAGTGCAGCAAGTTGATATTTTGCTGAACCATCCCAAAGGTGACTACAATACTCCATGCATGTTCGGAGTTGAGCTTTATATAAAGTCAGAAGCTGTCCGGGCGTGAAGTATCGCTTCACCTTGTTTAGAATACCTCACAACGCCTGTCGTGCCAGCTAGTATGCTATATGTTATTGCTGCTTTGTAAATAGTGTAATATATAATCGTCAAGAGTACCATCTTTTCTTCCATAAACGTTCCTAGTATAGTTCACCCTAACACAGTAAATAACATAAAATCACATACACTCCACTGCAGTCTCTTACACTATAGTAAAATATTTAATTTAAGCTATGAAGTTTTATCAAATAGAAATTAAGCCTTACCGCCAAGTCCACAAGGTGCAATTTCCCCATATTAACATGCGTCTTCCCATCGGCGCCCTTCTTGATGCTTTCCACGGTGATAGAGAAGATGGCGTGGGATCTGGAACTCTCGATGTTCATCGCAGTGGCTCCGATGTGCCGGTACTTATTGCCCACGGCCATTATCTTCTCCAACTCGTCCGCATTGTGGACCACGTAACCTGAGTAGGCAATGATATGAGTTTGTAGAAAGTGCAATATTTAATAAAATTACTTTTTATGTGGAATAAGGATGACAAACAAACAGACAGTCCATGATAAGTGGATGCTGTAGCCCATACACATCAAAATCTATCCTCGATTAGGAACCAAAATAGAGATGATAGAACGCCTCGTTTCCAATACGTAGGGTCCCCAGTACTCTACACTCACCATACGAAACACTGCAGCATAAAGCTGCTATTTAACGCTGGTATTCTGTAAAAGCGTGGTCCTTCTCCGGTCAAACCGTCCCATTCGTGCTACAAGTATAATATAGCTAGCAGCATGGCTCTATCACGTAAAAACTGACTGAGGCTAAACTAAAATAGTTTAGTATCAGTTCAGACAAAACTAAAATAGTTTAGACTCAGATTTTAATATACGACTTAGGTACCTTCAAGACTTCAAGAAAAGAGCCTACTCCTTTCTAAAAGGCCAGCGAAGCAAATGCGATTATTCTGGTGTTGGCGATTACACTTACGGGTGAGCCGTATGCTCGTTTGCCTCCTCTGCTCCATGCTACAAAAAAAAACTTACCTGTAAGATCCTTTACAAAGACTCCGATGTCGGGCCGCTCCTTGACCTCGAGACTCTGGTGCGGGTTGTTGCCCAGCAGGTCGCGCACTTCCTCGTTGTAGATCTCCAGGTATGTCACGCATACGAGGAACCTGCGTGAGATGTACGAGTATTGATGATGATGAATCGTGTAGCGGCGGTGTTAGAATATCCTAGAATATCCCCATATTTTCTCGTGGGTGTTTTTAGTGTTCGAGACAACAGAGGAAAGGCAAACAAACTACGAGCGTAGGGTGACGCTATATACTCGTATAACAAATAAAAACAAAAACAACCTGCCTGCCAAACGTGGCAACAATGACAAATATCCCTCCGATGAGGTAATCTTTAAGGGGAGGTTATGTTCAGAAGTGGTATTGTGTGGTTCTATACGTGGTAGAGCCATGCTGCAGCTATATCTATACAAATAAATAAAATTGAAGTGTCTGTTTGTAATGTCAAAATTACAGCTTTTTACTAAATGCATATGAAAGTATTTACGATACTAATAACAAAAATACAATTTTAAAAGTTTTTATCTGTCTGTCTGTTTGTCTATCCGTCTGTCTGTCTGTTTGTTCCGACTAATCTCCGAAACAGCTGGACCGATTTTGACGGGATTTTCACTGGCAGATAGCTGATGTCACAAGGAGTAACTTAGGCTACTTTTATTTTAGAAAAAGAATTAAGGTTCCGCGCAATTAAAACCCCAAATAACACGCGGACAAAGTCGCGGGGAACAGCTAGTTAATAATATAATTGTAGGACGAATGGGTCGGCTCGATCTTGAAAGGACTACGCTCTCACAGAATACCAGCGTAAAATAGCAGCTTAATGCTGCTGTGTTTCGTATGGTGAGTGTCGTATGACTGGAAAAAAGGCATTCTATCTTAGTACTCACGGCTGACAACGCATCTACATTTTGATTCGCAAACGAGGATAGATGTAGATGTCTATGGGCCACAACAACCACTTACCATCAGGTGGACTGTGTGCTCGGTGGTCACCCTTATTCTATAAAAAAAGTGGACTTTTGATAGATTATAATGGTAATTGATGATGATAAACCAAATAATAAGAAATTTCTATCAAGAAGTATACATCTGAGGATACCAGCTAATTTGCCTTTGAACTAATGTTTTTGCCATCATTGTAAAACCCCCAATTTGCGTATCTATGCCAGCAGGGCGAACAAAACGTCGTTGACTTATTTTTGACTGCCTTGTTGATCTAGCCTTAAGCTTGAATCCAGGGTCGAGCCAAAAATTGTTATTGGGTGTTTTACCAATGTGCACGTAAATAATTGGTCTTGCGCCTGATCTCTCTCTAGCCGGGTTGCCGTCCCATTAGACTAAGAGAGCAAATGAATAGAGTTCGCTTACGCACACAATCATGCACTATAATCCCTTAATGCGTAGATTGCTAGTCTCCATTGAGACCGGCCGCTGTGTTCTAATTCTCTGGAGGATATCATTACGTAGGCCGCTCCCCAAGATAAATCTTCTTCCGTTTTATACGTTAGGAATTAAACAATTTAATTCCCCAGTCCCCATTCCGCACCGCAGTTTTGCATCCTCCCGTTGTGAATGTACCACGCACTCGGACGCGTTATGATGCGTACAGTAACTTAAATTTGTTTGTTGTTAAATACATTATTATGTGGATATCGTCAAATGGAAATAGATTTTTACTTTTGGTATGTTTAACCGTACAATACCGTTAGGTGGGCTCGAAGCCTCAACACCTGCTTACAAATATAGATTATAAATAAATATTAAGTTAAAACAATAAATAATGAGGGCATCCACGACTTTAGCTGCCACCGGGGCGGTGCCACTAGAAACTGAGGTATAATTTTTTTTTGACAATTCAATTTGACAGAGATTTCATAGCGGGGAAGTTAATTTGTTCGGAAAATGTAAAAGTTATTGTTTCTTTCTGTATTATTAGCTATATTTTATATTAATAACATTAAAAATAATTAAACCAAACCACTAGGCTGTCGAAAAGACCAACGAAGGTCAGCCATTCGGAAAGGACCCCGGAGAACTTTGGCAGGTCCAGAGTTAGGAGTCGTCCCAACAGCTCCGGCTGAAGCTGCTTCCGAGAGGACTCGGGCAGGCCACTCATTCGAGCTTCACGCGCCTCCTCGGCATACCTGCCTTCAGCCTCGATCAACTCGTCCGTGAGCGAAAAGAACTGCTCATAGTCCGCGAAGCAGGAGTCCAGGACTCCCTTCTCCACATCCGAATCCTCGAGCTCAGCGTAAGCCTCCTCCACTGCGGCCCTTCGAGCATCCACCTGCTCGAACCGCTTCATCATGTTATGGACCCTATCCGGTCGACCTATCAAAGCATGGGCGCTTGTGGCCCAGCGTAACTCAGTCCGCAGGCAACGGATTAGTAGCTTGAGCGATGACATCACTACTAAATACAAATTACGACGCGGCTCGAGCACAAATTACAAAGATAACAAATAAAAAATACAACAAAAAATTTACAGTTAATAAATGCAGTTCCTATCAAATCGCGTTGAATAGAAATTACACAAATACGAATTACTACGTATCAACCAAATACAAGTTAGCACAAAAGAAAAGACACAAATCAAATTAACAAATAACAAATACTAGTGCGATCAAATCAAGTTAAATTCAAATTGCGCAAATACAATTACTACTCTTTAGTTCAAATACAAATTACAATACAAATAAGATACACATCACGGTCGATCAACAAAAAATGCCTAGCTCGGAAATCGACCCTTCGATAAGTAATCCACTACAACTATCCGACAACGATAATTAACCGATTACGTAAAAATAACCATCTACCTACATGACGTATATCTCTAGAAAAAGTCCCGCTTGCGCAACCTAGGGCGCGGCTTTTCAATCTACCCACTAACCAAAAAATAGGCAAGCAACAAAGCATCAAAGGAAAATAATTTTATTATTACGTACAAAAAAAAATATTTTTACGTATTACGGACGGGCGTGATTGTAGATACAAATTAAACCAATCAAACAAACGCTCCCTGCCACCAAAATTGTTTAATTTTTATCAAACACTATGGTCGGGATCGACCGGGGAATCGAACCCGGAACCACGCTCTGCTACCAATTTGTTACGGCCTATGGCTGCTCCAGCAAGGATTCAATCATCCGGGGCCCATCAGCGGAGACTTCACGAGCAGACGTAGGTCGGGCCTCAATATGGCCACGTGGAATTACCTAAGTTACAATAAACTATATGGGGGAGCGTTCTATACTACGGCCATTCGACCGAGAGAATATTAGACGGAGCTTACTTACCTTATCCGAAGCTAACTTCGTACCAAGGCTTGGGCAGGCCGTGAGTGTGTGTAATAGTGGATGGCGAGTAGTGTACAGTGAGGTGTGAATGTGTGGGGCCTTGTCAATCATAGGCGACCAGCAGCGGCCGAGTTCCAGGCTGCTCCAAAATGCTGCACCGCTTCAGACTGCTTCGGCGCCGGACCACTTCTTCGTTCGTCACGATGACAGTCCATTAACTCTATCGTACGATTAATTAACTTACAGAAGCCACTAACTCTCGTTTGTTATAAGGTTAACGCACAAAACGAACACGGAGTGTCCGGATCAAAGGTCACTACCGTTTCGCGTAGCAACAGTTATTTCTAGAATATCAAAGGCCGCACTAGCTAATATTGCCGAATGCACTTATGCACATTCTGAGTCAGACACAATGAGTCCCTGGGAAGCTCTCCAGCAAGGAATGCGCGTCACAATCCTAGACCGTATATTTACTGGCCGCGCCTAATTATTCCGAGTTTTCACCAAAAAAAGACAGCGTGCTGTCGCAAGCACAGCTGGCAGACGACTGTTTCGCCTTTACGCGTTCTCAACCCACCGCTCGGCCGACGTCAAAACCGGTATGGCACCGAGGCGCGCGCCCTCTCGCGTTAGTTCCTGAAATTAGCGTTTGGCGCGAACAATACTTAACGAGTTGTTTTATTAATTTTACTCCATACTCTATGTTGGAAAATTATTAATTAGACATGTGTCAATCGTGAATAATTCGTTCATTTCACCGGGGTCGCCAAGTATTGATGATAGCAATTACATTTTTCGAACGTTCCAGATCAAACAATTGATAGTACCTAGGATCATACACTAAATAGTATAGCAATGTCCAACAGTCGCGACCATTATCGAGCGGGTCTCACAGATCACAGAGTACTTAAACTCTAAATGATCAATTTGAATGATCGACCAGAATCGAATCGAATGTAGAGAACCGGAGAACCTTTTACTGGAAACGAGGCATTCCATCGTAGTGCTCTGGGGTGACTACGCATTTTGTCGAAGTTAAATATAGTTGTCTATGGGTCACAGCATCCATTTACCATCAAGCTGGACTGCGTACTCGTTTATCACCAACATTCTATAAAAAAAAAACAAGGTACGTACCGTTGGCGGCTTCCTCCAGCTGCTTTTTGAGTTGATCAATCTCTTGCTGGAACCTGTATAGTAAGAAATTCAATCAATTAGTTTAATTTACCCGACTGCGGCACAATCCTAAAGGCGGGTATCATTTATTGTCTGGTAAGAACGAAAATCAAGCACACTGTCCACCTAATGTTAAGTATACACTTATGTATTATTAGGTCTAAGTGCTACAGTATACGCTGTGGGACTTTTAGACATTTACATATATCGTCTATTAAGAATCATAATACCGATGCGTTGATCATAATACCCTTGAGAACTATGGAATGCCTAATTACCGGTAAAAAGTGTGGATGAATAAAACCATAGATAATAGAATAATATAATAAAATAAATATACACAACTTTTTTCGATTATAAGTGTTTAAGAGGAAATGCGGGCCGAGACTTTTGAAAATTAGGTATTTGAAGAAACTATCGCAGTCGCTCTTCGAGCGCTCGATAACTGCAGATCCGTCTGAATAGCTTAAGTAAAAAGGCACAATTCGAGGTTTGGCTCTCTACCATTGCCTCCTCCAGTATTGGACCAATTTAAAAGATATTTCATAAACTAAATAAGAAGGATATACACTGCGTCCCTGTGTTTTTCTTTTTTCAGTATTAGTTATTAAATTTGAACACTAGAGGCCTTGAGAGCGGTCTAAATAGGCAATTTTGAGAATTTTGTATGGGTTCTAGTGCTTATAAAGATAATGTATTATCAAAAAGGAAAACATAGGGACATAGAAGAGGTTGATATTTATTTTACTGTAAAAATTCATAGATATAAGGTTGTAAACCAGAAAGAAAACAGTCGAGAGCGTTTGCATGGAGAAAAGACCACCCGCATTTACTCTTAATGAGTATTATAGTTTCGATTGTAAACCCTAATAGACCTACAAACAGCAACTGAGCTGTTCAGCGGTGGACTGTTTTTTTTTTTCCTAAGTGGTAAGTGGTAAGTGGTGAAGCAGCCGAAAATCGCTAAGCGCACTGAATTAGCTTTACAAAAGCATATTCACTTTTTAAGCTATTTTGTTACGCGGTAGAGGCAAGCTGCAGCTATATTATGGTTATAGCTCGAATGGGTCGGATCGACCGGGGTAGAAACACATTGTCACAGAATACCAGCGTAAAACAGCGGCTTAATGCTGCTGTGTTTCGTACGGTGAGTGTAGAGAACCGGAGACCATTTTTACTGTAAACGAGACATTCCATCTTAGTACTCAGAGGTGACAGAGCATCTGCATTTTGATTCTTAATCGAGGATAAATGTAGATGTCTAAGGGCCACAGTTTCCACTTACCATCAGGTGGACTCCATTTGTCACCCCCATTCTACAAAAGAATGCCTTGAAGACACCAATATTGTAGTCGTACGAGTACAACAAGACAGACGCTGACAAATTATTCCACTCCGTTGCTGTACGCATTGTGATCGACAAAGCAAACCGTTTAGTTCGAATGCTTGGTACATCGACAGCAAAGGGATGGAGACCAGCCGTATAACGTTATATGTATGGGGACCAGATAGGGAGGAATTAAGTCAAGCTGTTGGAGAATAAGGAACTTGATTTAACCTGTGACTAGGAAACTATGACATACCTGGTGAGCAGAGCGTCCCCAGGCTCGCTATTGACATGAGTCTTGTTCTCGATGTTCTTTGCGCGGTTCGCGTAGCGGAGAGTACTTATCGTCTCCACGTAGTTCGATTCCGCCGGACCGATCGTTGCAATCTTAACCCAAATTTAATAGCGTTATGGTAGCATTTTCTGTAACATATTCTATATGTTACAGAATATGTGTTATATATTAAAATGCTAAAACGCTGTTAAAAAAATATACGATTTAAATTATGACCTTAAAGACAAAAAATAATGAAGGCTGATAGCAATGTGGATAAGGAAATTGGCTTAGGTGCTGCCGGCTGCCCCGACGGTTCGACAAAAAATGAGATTTACTTCATTATGACGACCAGACGACAACTGTTCATTGATGTCTCCGTGATCGCGAGGGTGAAAACTGGTAGCGATCACCGAATAGTTAGAGGCATACTGAACCTAAACGTTAAGTTGGAGAGGTCTCGTCTGATGAAGTCAAAGCTCCGTCCCCCTCGTGCTCTAATCCAAAGTCCCGAAACCTTTCAGCTCAAGTTACAAAACCGTTTTCAGTGCCTAGAAGACTGCAATGAAGTGGACGATATGAATGACAAGCTCGTGGAAACTGTCCATGCGGTCGGAGCTAAGTTCTGCAAGACTCGCCGCAGAAGAACACAAAAACTCTCCGATCACAATCTTAATCTCTACATTCTTCATCTATGGATTCATCAAATATTAATCATCTAAGGATTTTTATGCCTATAAATAATTGTTATCTACTACTTAAAATTAAAATGTATTAGAATTGTACGCACTAACGCACCTTTATTAATGATGATATCGGTGTAGCCATCAGAAGAGATTTCTCTTACCATAACAGTCTTGGAGTTCCCGCCAAGAGAGTCCTGCAGGAGCCTGGTCAGCTTGGAGTTCCGGTACGGGATGTGGGTGGACTTGCCGTCCACCAACGCGGAGATGACGTTACCAAGAACCGACAGCGACTGGTTGATCTTCGTCGCTTCCTTCAGCCGTGTGCCCGTCGCTTGGGTTTTGCTCTGACCCTCTGAACCCTGAAATATATTTGTTTTAATAAAATTAGAATGAAAAACAAGCCAACCCATAATGTGGTTGAGCTATGATGCAGCTGGTTGTAGTAGGAATGGGTCAGACCGACCGGGGTCCAACCACGCTTTCACAGAATACCAGCGTAAAATAGCAACTTAATGCTGCTGTGTTTTGTATGGTGAGTGTAGAGACATCTACATCTATCTTCGTTTCCGAATCAAAATGCGGAAACGTTGTCACTCCCGAGGACTAAGATGAAATGCCTCGTTTTTAGTAAAAGGGGTCTCCGGTTCTCTACACTCACCATACGAAACACAGCAGCATTAAGCTGCTGTTTTACGCTGGTATTCTGTGAGAGCGTGGTCCTTGCCCGGTCTAGTAGACCCATGCATGCTACAACTATAATATTAATATAGCTGCAGTATGGCTCTACCACGTAAAAAGTATATGGTAAGCTGCAGTACGTTTGGTACTCCGATAGGAGAATGGAGATGGCGGTATGAGTTTATGAAGCTTATAGGCACACTCTCCGAAGCACAACCTGTAGAAGACCGACGAACAAGCAATTTGGCAGCGGTAAGCTAAACTGTAAAGCTTAGTGTCCACCAGCTTTTTGTTGTCGATAAGCCTCTTGGCTCTGCGTTGCACTGAGTCGAGTGCAGCAAGTTGATATTTTGCTGAACCATCCCAAAGTTGACTACAATACTCCATGCATGTTCGGAGTTGAGCTTTATATAAAGTCAGAAGCTGTCCGGGCGTGAAGTATCGCTTCACCTTGTTTAGAATACCTCACAACGCCTGTCGTGCCAGCTAGTATGCTATATGTTATTGCTGCTTTGTAAATAGTGTAATATATAATCGTCAAGAGTACCATCTTTTCTTCCATAAACGTCCCTAGTATAGTTCACCCTAACACAGTAAATAACATAAAATCACATACACTCCACTGCAGTCTCTTACACTATAATAAAATATTTAATTTAAGCTATGAAGTTTTATCAAATAGAAATTAAGCCTTACCGCCAAGTCCACAAGGTGCAATTTCCCCATATTAACATGCGTCTTCCCATCGGCGCCCTTCTTGATGCTTTCCACGGTGATAGAGAAGATGGCGTGGGATCTGGAACTCTCGATGTTCATCGCAGTGGCTTCGATGTGCCGGTACTTATTGCCCACGGCCATTATCTTCTCCAACTCGTCCGCATTGTGGACCACGTAACCTGAGTAGGCAATGATATGAGTTTGTAGAAAGTGCAATATTTAATAAAATTACTTTTTATGTGGAATAAGGATGACAAACAAACAGACAGTCCATGATAAGTGGATGCTGTAGCCCATACACATCAAAATCTATCCTCGATTAGGAACCAAAATAGAGATGATAGAACGCCTCGTTTCCAATACGTAGGGTCCCCAGTACTCTACAATCACCATACGAAACACTGCAGCATAAAGCTGCTATTTAACGCTGGTATTCTGTAAAAGCGTGGTCCTTCTCCGGTCAAACCGTCCCATTCGTGCTACAAGTATAATATAGCTAGCAGCATGGCTCTATCACGTAAAAACTGACTGAGGCTAAACTAAAATAGTTTAGTATCAGTTCAGACAAAACTAAAATAGTTTAGACTCAGATTTTAATATACGACTTAGGTACCTTCAAGACTTCAAGAAAAGAGCCTACTCCTTTCTAAAAGGCCAGCGAAGCAAATGCGATTATTCTGGTGTTGGCGATTACACTTACGGGTGAGCCGTATGCTCGTTTGCCTCCTCTGCTCCATGCTACAAAAAAAAACTTACCTGTAAGATCCTTTACAAAGACTCCGATGTCGGGCCGCTCCTTGACCTCGAGACTCTGGTGCGGGTTGTTGCCCAGCAGGTCTCGCACTTCCTCGTTGTAGATCTCCAGGTATGTCACGCATACGAGGAACCTGCGTGAGATGTACGAGTATTGATGATGATGAATCGTGTAGCGGCGGTGTTAGAATATCCTAGAATATCCCCATATTTTCTCGTGGGTGTTTTTAGTGTTCGAGACAACAGAGGAAAGGCAAACAAACTACGAGCGTAGGGTGACGCTATATACTCGTATAACAAATAAAAACAAAAACAACCTGCCTGCCAAACGTGGCAACAATGACAAATATCCCTCCGATGAGGTAATCTTTAAGGGGAGGTTATGTTCAGAAGTGGTATTGTGTGGTTCTATACGTGGTAGAGCCATGCTGCAGCTATATCTATACAAATAAATAAAATTGAAGTGTCTGTTTGTAATGTCAAAATTACAGCTTTTTACTAAATGCATATGAAAGTATTTACGATACTAATAACAAAAATACAATTTTAAAAGTTTTTGTCTGTCTGTCTGTTTGTCTATCCGTCTGTCTGTCTGTTTGTTCCGACTAATCTCCGAAACAGCTGGACCGATTTTGACGGGATTTTCACTGGCAGATAGCTGATGTCACAAGGAGTAACTTAGGCTACTTTTATTTTAGAAAAAGAATTAAGGTTCCGCGCAATTAAAACCCCAAATAACACGCGGACAAAGTCGCGGGGAACAGCTAGTTAATAATATAATTGTAGCACGAATGGGTCGGCTCGATCTTGAAAGGACTACGCTCTCACAGAATACCAGCGTAAAATAGCAGCTTAATGCTGCTGTGTTTCGTATGGTGAGTGTCGCATGACTGGAAAAAAGGCATTCTATCTTAGTACTCACGGCTGACAACGCATCTACATTTTGATTCGCAAACGAGGATAGATGTAGATGTCTATGGGCCACAACAACCATTTACCATCAGGTGGACTGTGTGCTCGGTGGTCACCCTTATTCTATAAAAAAAGTGGACTTTTGATAGATTATAATGGTAATTGATGATGATAAACCAAATAATAAGAAATTTCTATCAAGAAGTATACATCTGAGGATACCAGCTAATTTGCCTTTGAACTAATGTTTTTGCCATCATTGTAAAACCCCCAATTTGCGTATCTATGCCAGCAGGGCGAACAAGACGTCGTTGACTTATTTTTGACTGCCTTGTTGATCTAGCCTTAAGCTTGAATCCAGGGTCGAGCCAAAAATTGTTATTGGGTGTTTTACCAATGTGCACGTAAATAATTGGTCTTGCGCCTGATCTCTCTCTAGCCGGGTTGCCGTCCCATTAGACTAAGAGAGCAAATGAATAGAGTTCGCTTACGCACACAATCATGCACTATAATCCCTTAATGCGTAGATTGCTAGTCTCCATTGAGACCGGCCGTTGTGTTCTAATTCTCTGGAGGATATCATTACGTAGGCCGCTCCCCAAGATAAATCTTCTTCCGTTTTATACGTTAGGAATTAAACAATTTAATTCCCCAGTCCCCATTCCGCACCGCAGTTTTGCATCCTCCCGTTGTGAATGTACCACGCACTCGGACGCGTTATGATGCGTACAGTAACTTAAATTTGTTTGTTGTTAAATACATTATTATGTGAATATCGTCAAATGGAAATAGATTTTTACTTTTGGTATGTTTAACCGTACAATACCGTTAGGTGGGCTCGAAGCCTCAACACTTGCTTACAAATATAGATTATAAATAAATATTAAGTTAAAACAATAAATAATGAGGGCATCCACGACTTTAGCTGCCACCGGGGCGGTGCCACTAGAAACTGAGGTATAATTTTTTTTTGACAATTCAATTTGACAGAGATTTCATAGCGGGGAAGTTAATTTGTTCGGAAAATGTAAAAGTTATTGTTTCTTTCTGTATTATTAGCTATATTTTATATTAATAACATTAAAAATAATTAAACCAAACCACAGATATTCATAAAAGTAGAAAAATTAAAAAAAAAATTAAAAATGAGCAAAAAATTAAAGAGCAAAACACTGACGCATTGTTTTATTAATATAATACTCTAGAAACTGATAAACTTTTATTAAAAAGGAACTTCTCAATTAAATTACATTGTGTAACAAAAAACTTTACCTGTGCCAACTAGTGACATCTGGTGAGCAAAAAATTATTAGCCCTCATTGTTATATATTCGTATTACTTATAGTCCAAGATCCCCGGGCCACCAGACGTCACTTATTTTCTGACGAACGAAATGTGTAAGATTGAGTAGTGGTAGTATGCACTATGATCGCTAGCTTGGCCAGATGGCCATTTTCCAGGTTACCCGACTATGTTAAAAAGTTCACTGAAAAGAAAACCTTTTCCTGCCTATTTTTGTATTTGCAGATGTAATATATAAATATTATATAGCCGATGTCACTCCCACAATTAAGAGGAATCCGACACACCATAAGTTAAAATCCATTAAGCCGTTTAGGTTACAGCGCGTGCCAAAGAAATATACATACATACATACACATACATACTCTCTAAAAACATTACCCTGCTTCTGAAACAGTCGGGTAAAACTATGTTCACGTCGACAAACGCAATTTTATTTTTTATTTTTGTTCATTACTGAAAAACCTAATATCCAAAGCAAAAAGCTATGGTATACGATGGGATCTATTGATTTGTGTGTTAATACTCCTGATTTCGTAGGTGATGAAATATGTATACGTAGTCTTAGAGATACGCCGCCATTGTCATTTATCCTGTTAACCACACTTTCTATTTAACAACACTCGCAAAACCACTCACTTCTCGTCATCCTTCGCCTTGGCGATATGGCTGAAGATGTGCGCGAAGGAGTTGGGTATGATGCCGCGCAGCTCGGGCGCCGAGTTGGAGCCGGCCATCGTGTAAGTCTTGCCGGTGCCCGTCTGGCCGTACGCGAAGATAGTGCCATTGTATCCACGCACCACTTGCTCCACGATGGGGCTCGCCGTTTGCACGTAGATGTCCATCTGAGGAAGAAAGGAAACACTAGATACAGTCTATTAAGGTCCACTGTACATAGCCCTCATAGGGAGTCTTTAGAGGAGGTGTCCATAGTTGTCACCTCGACATGCGTGCTAACAACAAGTTTTTTTTAAATTCTTAGTTGGTAGGTATTAGGATAACGCTGCTGTCCACCTCCTGGTTCGTTTTCCTGTGACGCGTGACGATATGGGGTAATAGATATTCTCATGCTACAACAACTAACGATGTTGGCGAAGTTCAGGTGTTTTCATAATATTTTGTTTCTTATTTCTCAAACATGCAGATTTCCTCACGATGTTTTCCTTCACTGCCGAGCACGAGGAAAATCAGTTTTTTTTCATTGGTGCCGCCGGTACTTGATTCTGGGTAGCTCACGTACTGTGCAATTTACAGCGAGCGCTTAGCCCCTGAGCTACCACGCATCGATAGAACATAAATAAGACATTTTTTTGAGCCGCGTAATGGCGAAGATAATGTACCACCCCAAATCATACCGTGGGTGTCGTAAAAGATGAAAGAGGGAAATTATACAGGAGATAGACAGAAACGTCTCCCTGATGATTACTCAATAATAATAAAAACTGCGGTTGTCAAACCGCCTGCCAAACATGGCAACTATGGCAAATATGTGAGTACCGACGTAAAATAGCAGCTTAATGCTGCTGTGTTTCGCGTGGTGAGTGCAGAGTTCCAGAGATCCTTTTTACTGGAAATGAGGCATATTCCATTTTAATCCTCACAGGTGACAACAACGCATCTGCATTTTGATTCGTAATCGAGGATAAATATAGAGGTCACAGCAACCACTTACCATCAGGTGGACTGTGTGCTCGTTTGTCACCCTTATCACATAAAAAAGTCCACTATTAGGCAATCTATGGCCTATGTTCAGTGGGGACTAAGTTTTGAACGGTTTTAATAAATGATTCGAAAAGCCGCAGCTTTAGTATCTTGTCATTTGATAGTTGTCTCATGGGTCCGATATTTAAGTCAAAAATTCGACATAAGTCCACGTTTTGTGGGTCTATAGGGGCCAATTTTACAATTTACAAAAAAAAAATGTTTTTTTATAAAAGTGTATCTTTGGTGTGCATGTTAGCGGGGAAGTTAAATTATTCGTAAAATGAAAAGGTTAATGTTTCTTTCTGTACTATTAGTTGTATTTCATATTAATTTAATTAAAAATAAATAAACCAAACCCCAGATATTCATATATTAAGAAAAAGAGTTAAAAATGTACAAAAAATTAAAGAGCAACCCACTGAGACATTGTTTTGTGTATTTGTTCGCGACGGCCTAAAGACTAAGAAAAAAGTGATGAAAGAATATTGTTTTGTATAAAAAGTGAAATTACCAACGAAATCGAGCAAATTGTGTATTAATATAGTTTTACAGTGTGTTTACAACTCTTAATATATTTGTATAGAAGGAATGTCGTTTTAATAATAGTTGATATAAACAACTTTAATCATTTAAGAAAAAATCAACCAATCATAGCGCGTTATATCGAAGAACTTTCTAGAAATTTAATTAACTGCGCAATAGTTTATACAAAAAAATAAACCTAGCAAGCTAACAGCATAGCAAAGTAGCGAAGCAATCAGCTTTGTAGCGGTTTCTAACGGTTGCCGTTGAGCAATCAGTTTCAAAATAGGAGGTTCAGATGCCTGGGTGATCAGTAATGGATTGCTGAAAACAGACTTTGAAAATTCAAAACCGTTCTCGAGATAATCGTGGGACAGACGGACAGACGGACAGACATCGTGAAATCAATAAGTGACTTCGCAAGCTTCGCCACTTAATAATGAGAATATTTTTGTGTTCTAAAAGAGTTGTAAATATGATATTTAGTTAGCATATGGTATATAGATTACGATAGTGAAGAAATAATTTGTATAATTAAACGCATTTGATACTTATAGAAAAATTAAAGAATTAATGTACCCATTTGTTGTAAAAATTTGGGACATTTCATTTAATAACTTTTTTAAATGTAAATATATTGAATAACCTTTATCACATACTGATAAAGGACCAAAATGCCTATTTAATGATGTATAGCGTGTTAGTATAAAAATTAGCCTTGTATAGAAAATATTGCGATTTGTGCTAATTACATAGTGAAAAATGTTTAAAAATAAAGAGGCAAAACGGAAAATGGCAAGCGGCTCACTATAAAGTATAGCCGAAGTCTACCTTATGGGGGCGAATCCCAGTAACGTTGTAGTAGGAAGAACTACCAGTGACAAGCAGTAGTATCAGGTAGTAGCTGAAGTGACCAGTAGCAGAACATAGTGAACAGTAATAGTGAATTAGAAAAAGTTTAGCTAGCCGAAAAAGTCGTAACTGAAAATCGCAGTTACACATAGCCGAAAAAAGTGGCTACTGAAAATTCGCAGTTACATATAGTGAAAAGTGTTAGCTAGACGGAAAAAGTGGTAACTGATATTCGCAGTTACACAAGTGATAAAATCAACTAGTTTTAGTTGATTAATAGCTGTTAGTGAGTAGTGTTAGAAAACCAGCTACTACCAATAGATAATTTGATACTACCAATAGATATTTTGATACTACCAATAGATATTTTGATACTACCAATAGATAATTTTATACTACCAATAGATATTTTAATACCAATAGAAATTTTGATACTACCGCGCATTTTAATTAAATCTGTTAAAATATATAGTGACCAACCAATAGTGAACAACCGTAGTTGAACAACGGTATTCAATAAATAATAGTTATAAAATTTCGCGACTAATTAATCAGTCGAACCTCTGGCCACTCCCTTGCTATTTTAATTTATAAATCGTGCATTTTAATTTTGAACCTCAGTCCACAGTTTTCCAGCAGCACCCACAGAGACGGCAGTGAAACTATCCTCCGGAACCTAGGTGTAGGACGTGAGCGACTCGCGGAGTATCTTCGACAACATTTACTCCGGAGAGTTACGCCCGTCCGGCACAGTATAATACTTTAGAAACTCTTAAACTTTTACTTGAAACGAACTTTCAAATAAATGACACCTTCAAATGAAATGAAATATAATATTAAATATACATAATATAAATTTCACGGCAAATGATTTATTTAATATAATAGTTTTCAACAACAAGTGCGGCTTAATATAAGATAAAAGTTTAATTTGATAGCAAATAAATGTTACAACCCTAATTTTGGGACACGTAGATATCACAAGATTATTTTCTTTGGAGTAAAATTACTTTGCAATAGCGCCATCTACCCCATTTTATAGGTAAAGTAATTTTAACGAACAAAAATTGATTTGACTCTCAAGGTGCTACATAAAATAGTCACCAGGTGGTATAAACACGACTAATTTAATGTTCAATCTCATTCTCTCGTAGGCTTAATCATATAGATGTGTATGTTTGTTTCTTTTAGTATCGCTTTCACGTTTCATCGAGTTTCAAATCACAACGATTCTAAAGAAGTTTTCACTTCAAAAACTACAGCTCAGTGTCACCTAGCGACATCTGTTGAGTGGTAGTATAAGGGATCGAATGTGGACTGTATGAAATTTACTTGTTAATGGACTGTTTAATTGACTACGCTAGGGAACTGCTTAAAGAAAAGATGGTACTGTAGAACTATACTGTATTCAACTATTTACAAATGTGCCACTAATAAACTATATACAGAGGGGAGTCTTCTGGATTTCTCTTGAGGTTTCTTCTCTTGAGGTTTCTTCTCGTGCCGCTTCCGAAATGAACAACTCGCAGACCAAAACGCCCTTCTTATATCACGCAAGAGAGCGTCTCGGTTTGTCAGTAGCGTCGTAAGGCGATGCCGCGCGCTGATTGGTCGGCGACATCGCGTGATCTGCTGCCGGTGTGCGGGGTGCGCGGGGCGCAACGGGGTGTGAAGGGGCGACGGGGCGGCGGCCTCCTTCGCTGTCCGCTACAGGTAGATTATTAGCCCTCATTCGACTGTTTTTTTGTACGTATGTTACGTGATACCTTCTTCAATTATGAACCGGTTTTGATAATTATTTTTTTTATTAGGTATTAAAAGAATTAAATATTTTCCTCGTAATAGTTTGATAGGGACTTTCTTCTTCCTAATACACTATGTTTTAGCACCGCCTTGAGAAGCTATTATGTGGAATTCATTTGTGGTGGCGCTGTCGTCGTGCAACAAGCAAAACAAACAAAAGCCTAAATCGCGCTATCAAAGTTCCGAAGTATTGCGGTATATATATAATAGCCCGAATATTCGGCAGAAAGGCCGTACAGGCCAATGCCAGTCCCAGGTGGTGTTTAGTGGGTAGGCATAGACACTTAGGTTTCACAGTGAGTCCCACATAACCACGCAGCCGGTTGTCGTGGTATGCTTAGAGCATTCACCACCTCCCTCCCCGCATCCCGAAGGGTGGCCCTTTTTCATTGCTTCTGAGCGCAAAAAAAAGTATAATATAAGAACGTTGGCCGCTCCCCAGGCTGAACACCTTGTCCGACGAGAGATCTCCCCTGTTTCTTCCACGGCCATATATTTTATTCTTGGAAGCCCGTTTTTACTTTTCATTAAAAGTTTAATAGTGCGGTTTGTTATTAGCCTTAACAATTGTGAAAAATCAACTTGGCTAACCTCGCAGAACAGCAAACTACTAAGACCTAATTTGAATCGCAAACAAAGGCATTATTGCAAAAACTAAAGTAAAAGTTTTGTGCCTGGTCTCGCTCCAAGATTATAAAAGGCTCTTATCGCTGACACAGCACCAAGCCTAATACGATCAAATCGTTTAAGTTACAGCAAACATGAGTAGATCAGGACAAAGGATAGTCCGACCATAAACAATATATAGTGTTGCGCGCCACTATTAATGTCTTGTACATGGCAACACTAGTTACAC